ATGTCCCTGGTCCATTTTTTCATAAATTAATAGCACCGTTGGTATCTGACAATCGGAAACACCCAATGATGCGAAAGAATTGGGGGCTTTGATGCATAACGCACCAATAGTGCATTCTGCTCGGCGGATTTTATTAGACAATTTTGACGTAAATTTTTCAAAATTATGGTTGAACGTTGGTCGGTAATTCTGCACTAGTGATGCACAATTTTTGGACTTTCGTCGATGCATAAAAATTATTGATCTATTTTGCTTAATTTATCTGCACCATTGGTGCAATATTGCATATAAATTATTGATCTAATTTGTTGGATTTTTCTGCACCATTGGTGCATAATTACATAAAAATTATGTATCTATTCTGCTGAATTTTTCTGCACCTTTCTGGCAAGTTATACCCAAATCATTATTAGCTCACCCTGCGTAGCACGAGAGCTATTGAATTCCTCCTGTCCGTCCGTCCGTCCGTCTGTATGTTAACGACCTTTTTGCATCAATGGATGCTAATTAATGTGTCTCTGGTCCATTTTTTCATAAATTCATAGCATCGTAGGTATCTGACAATTGGAAACACCAATTGATGCGAAAGAATTGGGAGACGTGATGCATATAGCGCACCAATAATGCATACTAGTCGGCGGATGTTATTAGACAATTTTGACATAAATTTTTGAAAATTATCGTTGACCGTTGGTAGGTAATTCTGCACCAGTGCACAATTTTTGGACTGTCCTCGATGCATAATAATTATTGATCTATTTTGCTTAATTTATCTGCACCATTGGTGCAATATTGCATAACAATTATTGATCTACTTTGTTGGATTTTTTTGCACCATTGGTGCAATATTGCATATAAATTATTGATCTACTTTGTTGGATTTTTTTGCACCATTGGTGCATAATTGCATAAAAATTATGTATCTATTTTGTTGCATTTTTCTGCACCTTTGGGGCAAGTTATAACCAAATCATTATTACAGGGTGAGCTACTTCTAACGTTACTACGGTTTATTACAGGGTGAGCTACTTCTAACGTTACTACGGTTTATTACAGGGTGAGCTACTTCTAACGTTACTACGGTTTATTCAAAATGTATTAGATATTAAACATTTCCATACAAAATTTTCTACTAATTTTGTTTGAAGAAGTGGCAAAACAACATACGTATGCACAAAAACGGGGCGACTTTTAGTGTGCGGATCGTTTTTATAAAGTTTCAATCCTCCTCCTGTGTACACTTCACAATTCCTGCATAACATCAGTACTTATTTGTTTGATAAAAATCCTCAATTGCATACATACAATTTCAATAACCTGCGACCAAGATGAAACAAATCCGAGTTTGACACCCAAAAAGCTCCCTTGTTAGTATTACGGTGCGCACGTAACGTGTCGCCATTCAAGAAACATTTTTACGATGGTTTTTGCTTGCTTCCCGTAAGCGAGACATGTAAGGCCATGGCCTCACATCGTAAAAACGTTCCAAATATGGTGACACGTTACGTGCGCACCATAATACTATTCGGGAAATTAGAAAAATAAATGTTTTTTCCTGGTGTTTTTCTTCAAAAATATTTTAAAATAGAAACATTAAATGCATTCATGAGATAGATAAATTTTGCCAATTAAGCTGGATTAGGGACCAAATAAATAATCAAACATTTCCGCACAATTTTAATTTTGGGAGATTTGGATGATTGGTGAAAGCTCAAATGTCACGTTGGATTATAGCCTTGAAATGTTGCAATGCTTAAACTTAATTTAGGCATTACTCGTTAATTTACTAAATTATACAAGGTAAAGAGATTCGTTAAACGATAAAAAGCACATACAAAATGTTGCCATTGTTGTGACCACGTTCTTACGACCATGCAATGATTGGATTAAGTAGCTTGTATTACGTATGACGATTTCCATCACCGGTAAAATACATCTTATTTTATTTTCCGGTCTTTTAGCTCAAAAACCTGCAATATTTAATGTAATATTCCATGTAATATTACATGGAAGGGGTCATGAAAATTTTAAAACCTGAGTAAACTGAATAGTTCAATCCCAGTGGATCGGTTCTTGAGCTAAAACACCGGAAAATAAGATAAAATGTTTTTTGCAGGCGATACATAGCTAATGGAAATCGTCGGAAATGTGTAAATCAGGGTTCGGAAAAACCCAGGGTTTTAATCAAAAAGTAACGACCCAGGGGTTTTAATGGGTTTTAATTGGTTTTTTGGGTTTTAATGGGTTTTATGGGTTTTATTGGGTTTTATTAGGTTTTACATAAGTAATACATTGAACAACAATTTTCACTACTATTGCAATCCAATTTCAATTAATATGCAAATCCTACTTGTCCATGTTAGAATTTGTATCCGTTTCGAAATAGTCCTGTTTAACTGATCATAGTTTAATACTTTATGAGAATATATATTACCTCTTTCTCGAATACTTCCTCTCATCATAATGAAATCCAAGTTTAAAAGTTTTTAAAATTTAATATTTCAATGCGATCTTAACGTGTATTATCAATTCTGGAAAAAATCGAGTACTTATGAGCAATGAAAGTACGTATGTATTATGATCGAGAATATAATAAGTGCTTTTTACAGACACACTTCTTTTGCTCATAATAAGGTACTTCGCTGTCCATAAGTACTCGATTTTTCCAGAGGTGATAATTAAGATCGCCTTGAAACATTTTAAAAAACTTTATAAATTAAAAAAATACTACAGTATTTTGTTTAATTTATTCGCTGAGATGAGAGGAAGTATTCGGGAAAAAAGTATTAATTATGACAGCAAAATGTAAATTAAATGTAATTAAATTATGTATGCTCACTTAAACATACCTCGTTCCGAAATTATTATTTTTAAATATTTTTGTCACTTGAAACTTGTAATGGCACTCGCTGATTTATTCCTGGTTTTTAAAACTTACAGTATTAATCAAATAAACTGATTATCTGCCATGAAACAACTTCGTCTAACGTACGACAGCTGTTTTCAGCTTTTAGAATATAGTTTTAAGCTGAAACACAGTTAAAACCCATTAAAACCCGAATAAAACCCATTAAAACCCAAATAAAACCCATTTAACATGGTAAAACCCAATGGGTTTTATTCGTTAACAACCCATTAAAACCCATTAAAACCCAAAAAACCCAACCCAATAAAACCCTGGGTCGGAATACCCTGGTGTAAATATGTGTAAGCTGGATGAAAGTGTAGATGTAAATCTTACAATTATTATAATGTCTGGAAATTTGGAAGAAACAGGTGTATGATGAATATTATTCTGGTAGAAAGTTTTAGCGAAATAAAGACAAATACCCCCCAATCTCGACTATAAGGCGTTTCAATTTGCCTCATTTTATTTCACAATGAAACAATTTGGTGCATTATTTTGCCAATTACACAGACATTCGCAAAACAAAATCACAAATAATTACCACACCCATCCGTGTGTCTCACCATAAATGCGTACATAATTCTCACTACTTCCCTGTTAATCACACTCTTTTAACTAATTAATCAGCAATCAGCAACGATATCGTATTATTAACCACAAACATCACTAAATCCAACTCATTACTTCGTTTCGCATGGAAAAACGTGAAGCTCCCAATCCCCACCGGGGCCGCCGTGGGCCGCATAGCTTTCACCACTTTGCAGTGAAACTTTCTCTCCCAACTTGTCCTAATTTTTTGTAATATCCCCAATTGCATGAGCACCTCGAGGTAATATTTCGTTTCACTATGCACCAAGGACAACTTTCCCCAACAAACCTTCACCACCAGCGTGACCCCGCTGAAACCAATGACCCCCCAAAGAAGAAAGAAAAACGAGAACGTGGCATGCAACCTATTTAAAATATAACTTCCCGAAATTAGCGGCGTAAAATAGGTCACAAGTGCTACGAAAGTTCCGTTCCTGATCATGAATTCGACCAGAACTTCTTCAATCTGGTAACACTTCAACCATCTTACCAAAACGTGCAGATCGTACAATTTCGAAATTTTTGTCACAAATAAAGGACCGATTTTCAGACATGTCCCAGAACAATGTAGGACGTAAAGGATGTTGCAGAAGCCAAGACACATCATGCGGCCCATGTCGTATATGAGAAATATGTTGATAGTGTATGTTATCAGAAATATTGGAAGTCTTATAAGAATTCCGGAGATTTTATCGGACAAAAAGTGTTGGATAAGGTGAGAGGATTGATCCAGGTCGAGGACGAGCATGCCAAAGAGGACGAAGAATGGGGATCCAAAGTAGAAAACAATGACCGAGAGGGAAATTATGACGGAGGTCAGGTTAGTGTAGGGAGTTATCAGTAATTTACGGTAATTGAGGTGAGAATGGATTCCAAAGTCTGAAAAGTTTAGGAAATAAATATATTATTAGAAATATCTGTAACTTGGCCAAATTAATGTTAAAATTCATGCAGTCCTTGGTAGCAGTGTAAAATCAGTAGTCTTTAAATCTACAAACTTTTGCAAAATTGTATTAATTGACATATCTCGCAGGAAAATTAGCGTATAAATTGTTATGTGCTTTGACATATTTGTTTAAAATATACGCATATTTGCTAAAAATAATTAACATATAAGTACAAATAGTGGAATTGTGTATTTGTGCCCGCCACCTCGTTTGCTACAGAGTTTGTTGAACATGGAAAGCCCGTTTCGCCGAAAAACGGGCATAGTGAGATTTATGCAAATGAGATGACTAGCCTAAGCGTGCAGTACCTTTTCGAATGTGCCAATCGAACTGCTCTATGTAAATACATATGTATACATCATCCGTACGTGGGGTGCTTAAGAAAATATGTCCGATAAACTGAAATGAAATGAGTTTGAACGAAAATGAGTATTTTTCCATTTCCTAGTAATTGGTTTGATCGAATTTTTAGAACCAATAGCGCTGAACATTAATATTTACAAGTCTTAAAGAATTATAACTGTGTTACACAAATAATATGCATATAGATAGATAGATAGGTAGATAGATAAGTGTATTTATTAGCTCTTCCAGGGTTTACCCATAGAGCACAATTTTTGTTTGATTTTTACAAATAAAATGAGTTCAAATAAAATATTTTTAAATAATTGGCTTATACAAATATAATTAGTTCTAATCTAGTATTTTTTGGCTAATAACAGATTTTGATTTTATAAATGAAACAAGCTTTTGTTACGTATTACTTTAATTTACAAAAAAGTGAATTTTAACTAACTTTATTTAATCAAGTCTGTTTAAATGTAGGTTTCGATAATACATGATATAAGTTTTAAGTATTTCAAATAATATATATATATATTTCTGTTTATCTCTATTCGTCACAGTTTGCACTTGTGTATTTCTAGACACTCTTCGTAAGTGGGTGGAAGGGGCATATGTTTGCTTTTGTCAACTTCATCAATGTATACAACGCATGGAAAATCTTTGTAATTAGCGACTACTTCGGAGTATGAGGGGACAGTTTGTCGCTCAATATCGTGGAAGTCTTGCGTCATTTTGCGTAGACTTTCCGCAGTGCATATTGTAGTTATCTCGACGTTTGCTGCTGTATTGTCTTCATTTTGACATGTTTCACTCCTGAAGATCTATTAATATAAATTTCCAGTTGGGAAGAATAATCTTTTACGAAAAGCGCATTGCCCATTTCATTCATATTTTATCAAATACATACAACAACAATACAAAAACGTACATAAAATTCTTACCAATATTTTAAAGAGTAGTAATATCTTGATACATAAAACGAGTCCAAAAGCCAAAATTCCATACTCCATAATGAACCTGCTGTCAAAATATGCAAATATGTTGGTTGTCGCGTACGAAATCCGTGTAACTGCTGATGCTCACGTCAGGTTCAATTTCATTCCAATACGTGCATGTGCAGATATTCAGGAGCACCTGGTTGATTAAACACTGAAAAGTGGTGACTTAAAAAGGTTACAAGATCTTAAACTAGGAACTTTATAGTATGTAAATATTCCGCAAACCTTAAGCAGAAAACGTCTGACTTTATAAAAACTTGTGAAGACGCTCGAAATGACGAGAATACAATCATGTTGAAGTCAATATGCTTGGTGCTGGTCTATTTAAAGCTCTTTATGTGTTTACATGTTTACATATTAGTTTGCACTTTATGCTAAATGGTTTGCTGCATTGGTGAGCATGTGACACAGAAAGGAGCTGTTTTATGTAAGTGTATAAATATTTGTACTTTACATACAATAAATGTTGTGCATGCATACTGTTGTGATACAAATTGTTGGTTTTTGGGATAAACACGATATTACCATAAAAATAGCAGCAATAAGAGCAATACCTGCTAAAAATATAGCTGGTATGACTATAAATGCTTGGAAAGTCACGTATTTAGCTTTTTTATACACGTAGTTACGTATCTTAGAGATAGAAGGGATTAGAAATCATAATAGAAGCATCAAGGAATAAATATGAATTTGCTGAACACTTTTTTAAGCCAATCAGCTTCGCGAATGACTTGGATGAACTGGTGAGCAAATTGCTTTATGAGGGGAGAAATTGTCCCAAAGTTGGTGCTTGCTGCAAACAAGCATTTTTTTTAGTGCTAGCAGCTTGCACTCAAAAAGATCCTACGTAAAAGCAAATCATTGTTGAATACTTTGTTCATAATTGAGGCTGGGTTCGTGCGTTACGTCGCAAGGTACATAATGTGCAATGAAAGAAACAGACCGAATTTTGAGCGAACCAAAAAAATCTGCAGAAAGATGCCCTTATTAGCTCACCCTCCGTAGCACGGGAGCTAATGAATTACTCTCTAGTCCATCTGTCTGTTAACGACTTTTTTGTATGAATTGATGCTAATTAAAATGGACCAGGTCCATTTTTCAATAAATTAATAGCACCGTTGGCATCTATCAAGCGGCAACACAAAATGATGCGAAATAATTGAGGGAAGGGATGCAAAAGCACCAATAGTGCATAATATCTGGGAGAAATAGTCATACAATTTTGACATAAAGTTATGGTCCAGTTATGGACCATAACTGGACCATAACTTATGGTTCAAAGTCAAAGTTCTGATTTTTATTGAACAATTGAAAAATGAGGAATTTTGGTGTTTACCTAAATGCTGCCAAAAAATCGCAACATGCCGTTTTCACCACTCTATAAATTTGGTACCTTGGGTCACAAAAATTTGCGAAGCATGGTTTCTGATAGTCAATTGCATGGAGAATTCAATAAAAAATAGTACAACTTTCTAAAAAATTGTCTTGTCTACTTAATTTACTCGGATTTGATTTTTGATTTGATTTGATATCCTTTATTCATGCGTCATTAAATATCAGTTAAATACAAACTGGTTTACAATCCGTGACACTATAAGCTAATTCTCTATATATAAGCATGTATCTAATTATCAACTAAAATTAATAGTAAATATATTCTTCCTTGCGTCTAGAAATTATCCATTCGCGACTCAACTGAACTATACTTAACTTATGTCTGAGGTCTTTGTAGTGTCGAGATTTGCGGATACGAGCTTTTTTCGCAATAATGGGCAAATAAAAATTTATTAGGTAATTGTCAACTTTTCGTTGTATAGTGTCAAGTTGTGGAGTAGTTAATGTCGCCCATATGTCAATACAATAATCTGCAATAGAATGTATGTGACTATTCATCATAACCGTCATTACATTTTCACTTAAATATCGCTTCAACCCATATAAGTAACCTAGATTACCGGAAATACGCTTACTTACTGACTCAAAGTGTTGTTTAAAACTCAGTGTCGAGTCAAGTTCCACCCCAAGATATTTAAAACAAGAAACTTGCTCGATAATATGACCACTATCTAGCACCAATGGCGAGTTTACATACTTGTCCGGGATGGGGTCTCTACTTTTATGAAAAATTTGGTATTTTCGTAATTTAATGTCATGTTATTGTCAGTGTACCATTGTTGAATACGAATTACTTGGTCTTTCAGTGTTTGTAATAATAAGTCCAAATCTGTTCCTGCAATATACACAACGAGATCATCGGCATATAATAAGAACGGCAATGTAATTATTTCAGCGATATCGTCCTGATAAGCTCCGTAAACAACAGGTCCGATCGTACCACCTTGAATTATACCTGTAGAATTAATATAGTATTTATCACTATTTTTAAATCTAAATAATGTATCGCTAACATAATTATGTATTGTTTTAATATATATGGGGTGTAACTTGTACTTAAACATTAGCTTTTTAATTAATAGAGATCTGTCAATACTATTGAATGCAGATTTCGCATCGAAATAAATAGCTACACATTTAGTATTCGGATTATCTAACGATTTATAAATGAAATTTGAGAATTCAGTTACGGCTGTATGACATGACCGATTTGTCCTAAAACCGTGTTGTTGATTACAAAGTTTCGATTCTAATCTAATTTGTATTCTATGGAAAAGTATTCTCTCGAATAGTTTACAATATGTGATTAAACAGCTTATTGGTCTATAGCTGTATGGGCTCAAACCCGGACCTTTCCCTTTATATATAGGAGTTACATATGTTGTTTTAAAATCGTGGGGCAGTTTACAATTAGTGAATATTATATTAAATAGAATAGCTATTTGAAAGGAAACTACATTGCAGCAGCGTTTGAGAATTGATAAAGGTACAAAATAGTCTGATTTACTATCTTTCTTTGTGTCTGAAATAGCCTTATTCACTTCCTCAACAGTGACTAATTCAAATTTGTCAGGTGATTCAGAGTTAATGTAAATATTCTCATGACGTGTAATCTCTTCTAATACAGTATGTTCAGGAATTAAATTATCTGAGGTTACAACAAAATGTGACGCAAGTGCATCATTGATAGTATTAGGGTTATCATAAATTACAGTATTATCAGGATCTACTAATTTATTAATTGGTGTGTAATTAGATTTACGGTAACAAGTGAGTACATTAACATTTTGCCAAAGGTTTACAGTATTTTTGCATGAATTTACAAATTCTTTGTTAAAGTAGGATTTTTTTGCATTGGTTAAACTAGTATTATAGTGGTTTCGAGCTTTTGTGTATAGTTTTTTATCGGAAGAAGATTTAGAAGTATCTGATATAGTTCGTAACCTATCTCTGCATTTGCGTAAGTCTGCAAGTTTGCTGGTGTACCAAGGGTTAAGTTTAGGCTTCACTAGTCTCTTCTTGATGGGAGCATATTTATCCAACAGTTGCATAACATGACTGTTGTATCTACAAAATTCTAAATGTGGGCTAGAATTTACATCAAAGTTGTAGGTGGCAAGATCTTTTTCGAGGTCCTCAAAATTACAAAGTTTGTAGCATCTATAAGTTAATAAAGTGGGTAAATATTTCATGTACTTAACTTTTCTTATTACATTGTTTAGGTCATGGTCTGAACTAGAATAAGGAAAGTGACCTGATGTTATTACATTGCTTTTTATATTTGAGTATATGTGGTCTAGCTGGGAGGAGCCCCGAAAAGTTGGACCAGTTATGTGCTGCCATAATTTGAATTCTCTGCAGGCAGTAAACAGTGAAAATGAATTAGTCAGTTTTTAAAAGATCTAAGTTGAAATCACCTAAAATGTAATATTCGTAGTCAAAAGATAAAAGAAAAGTGTTGGGTTCTCGGAAAAAACTGATTAATCTGGCTCCGGGTACAGCTGGATGGCTATAAAGTACAGTTACTAAAATTGGTTTACAGTTTTTTAAAATAATTTTGAATATTTGACATTCAGATTTTGCATCAAGCGGAACAAGACATTCTATTTGTTCAAAATTAATTTCAGTTTTGATATAACTTATTATTCCCCCACCTGAATTATAATTACGGTCTGTTCTCAATATATTATAACCATTAACAATATACATACCATCCTTGTCTCTGTCTGAATTAAGTTTTGACTCCGTGAAGGATATTATGTCAGGTTTACAGTCAGAGAGCAAGTTTAGAATGTCATTAAACTTATTACGCAGACTATTAATATTTTGATGGCATATTTTTAGTCCTTTCGTCGACTTGAGTGTGCTGTATAGTTGTGTAGAGTTGTCGTTGAGTTGACTTAGTCGACGAGGCGGTGAGTGGTCGAATGTCGAGGAGGAATTGGGGTCGGATGTCGAAAATGGTAAAATGTGAAGTGTAGAATTAAGTTGTTATTAGAATGTTGGGAGGAACTAATTTAAATCGGCTTTGGTGGCCTTCAGCCTTGACAGACAATTTCAAGTTTAAATCTTGTAATTGGTTTCAGCCATTTTATGTGCGGTCATGCAATTTTTGTGCGAATTGATGAGATTTATTGGCTCTTCCTCTGCACTTTTATTGTCATCTCCTGCTAAGAATTTATTAGCGAGGCGTATTTCCGAACATTATCCCATTATCCATTATTCTGCGTATAATCGTAGCTGGGCTTAACAAGCTCTAGCCAACCATTAAATGGTGTATGTAAACCATGCAACCCGGCTTACCACTTCCTCATTGCCCTCAATAGTGCATTTGTATACATGTGTATATGGTTTTTTGCAATCCCAGTAAATTCATTCCGAGGAGACAAGCATACAAACATACGAGTACCATGTGCAAGTACAAATTTACACCACCCATCGGCTTAAAAATAAGATAGGATCGATTACATGGTAAAGGAACTTATTTATTGGGAAGCTTTTATTGTCATGTTTCAGTACAACATTGAATTAAATTGATGAATATTGAGGAATTAAATACGGCGATCAGGTTAGAAATGTACTAACAATAGTCTGAGCACAGACAGCTGCTGTAGGTCTTCTGTGTAGCCCCCACACCAGTAGAGGCATTCCACTGGATGTGTACAACTTTCCCTGATTCCATTTTTCAGAGAGAGACAGAGATTCAGGCTGATTCTCGCAGGTGTCACTACCCGCTCGCAGAAGGGGCGTATGAAACTCACCAGTCTTTGTCTCTCTCTGACAAACATTTTATGGTGAACATTTTCTTACCAACGAGCATCTCATTTAATGTAATATGTAATGCATTCATGTGCTTAATGTGCTTAATGTGCTTATCTGA